TCTTAGGTTGTTAGAAAATACAGGTAAGAACAGTGCATGGTGGTGCATGCCTGTAATCCCAGCACATGGGAGGTTGAGGCAGGAGAACCACAAATTCCAGGCCAGCCCTGGTTACATAAAGAATTCAAGGCCAGCCTGTGCAACTTAGTTAGACCCTGCTCAAACAAAAACTAAACAAAATCAAACAATCTCCTATAGATAGATAGAGTACATAGATGATAGGTAAATAGATTAGATAGATAAAGTTGCATGGCTTTTTCTGTGCTTCTGACCTTTCTGTTTTCTTAGAGTATTTAATCTCTGATTCCCACATGCCATGCTGGTCCTGCTGGTCTTCCTTGCCTCCTCTGTGCTCTCGATGCAATCTCATACCAAATGTCTTCTTGTTTCAGTGGTAGTCGGAAACAGGTTTTTTTGGTGGTGCTAGGGTTTGAACTCAGGGCTCACGCTTGCTAACCAGGCGTTCTACCACTTGAGACACTCCGCCAGCCCTAGGGTTTTTTTTTTTTTAGCAGTAGTGGTTTTCTGTACCTTGCCTTCTAACAGTGTTCACCATGTGCTTGGATTGCTCATAGCTCTGATATGTACTGAACAAGCAGAATGAAAGAGGACACTAATTCAAATTCTGCCTGTGAGAGAAGCTGACTTTCTTTGCTAGGCCATTTGGGGAAGGGAACTCAGCAGTTTCACAAGTCTCCCAGTCTTGACTCCTTCCATCCAGCCACAAGTTGTTGCCAGAATGAGCTATCATCTTTCTAAATGGAAATATTGCTTACTTGCTTAAAACCCAATGTTTCCGTGGGCCAACAATGTGTGCACATGGCTTTGGGTTGCCTTGCAGGTTTACTAGGCTTAAAACAATTGAAATTAGGAAGAACATTTATTCTTTCTTTTTAATTACTTTAGAAAAAATTTCTGTGTTTCTTCTCTCCTCATCCAACCAATAGAACATTTGTGATACTGAAAGATATCTTAGAAAATCCAGGTTTTTGAGTTTGCAGGGAAGACTGTTAGATGGCAAAAGTGGACAGTAGGAACTGGGCAGGTCTGTCTCTAGCCATAGCTGCCACCCAGGCCTTTCCACTCCCCTCTGTCAGTTAAGTAGACACTTGTATTTGCTGCTTCCACTCCAGGAGCAAGTTCTACCTACTTAACAGGTGCACAGCTTCCTTTGCAGTGAGGTGCCTCTCCTCCTGCTCCATTCCCACAGGCATTCACACAGAAGCTATGCTTCTAGATGATCTTGCCTTGTTGGAAAAAAAAAAAATCGGTGTGACGTTTGTTAAATGAAGACTTCCTTGAAGAAGGAACTAGTTGCCGGGCACTGGTGGCTCACACCTGAAATCCTAGCTACTCAAGAGGCAGCGATCAGGAGGATTAAGGTTCAAAGCCAGCCAGGGGAAAAAGTTCGAGCAAGACCCTATCTTGAAAAAAACTCATCACAAAAAAAAGCTGTTGGAGCAGCTCAAGGTATAGGCCTTGAGTTCAAACCCTAGTACCATTAAAAAAAAAAAAAAGAGACTGGGTTCAACTCCAAAGACCAGGACAAGTAGGGCTTTGTAGCCAGGGGTCTGTGAGGGTTGGTGGATAAAAGATTACTAGGAGGAAGCTTCAAGGGTAAAGGTGAATTCTGTCTAAACCCACTTGACAAGATTCTTGCTGAAGGCAGGCCAGGGAAGAGGACGGAGGGTGGGGATTCTCACTGAACTCACCCAGCAGGATTCTTGATAAAGCTGAACTCTAGGAGGACAGACACTGAAATTCAACATTGGGGCACACAGGGCTTAGTAGAGCCTATTTAGAGTTAGGTCAAGAAGAGTCTGTCAGCCTGCTTAAGTTTGCTTACTCATAGATTATTCAATCTTTATTAAGGAGACCCATGTTGCAGACTTCTTTTCAGCATCATTTAGCTGCAAGGTGTGTGCTTGGCCCTACCACTCCCAAGTTTCAAGGGAGTTAACTTTTTTTTTTTTTTTTTGGTGCTGGGGATTGAACTTGGAACTTCACATATGCTAAGCACTTGTGCTACCACTAGCTACACCCCAGCCCCAGGAAGTTACAATCTAAATTATAACTTTTCATGGTGTATTGATGCAAAACTTATGGGCAGGCCCAGAAGCAGAGGAAGAAAGAGAACAGATGAGGCCCTTCTGTCCTTAAGATCATTTCCAAAACAAATACATTTCATCTGGTTATTTGGTTATGTATTTGAAGACATTCTGCTCAGTAAAACTGAGGAGGCAGCAGCAAAATTATGGTTCACCTTGTTAGGATAGCTGTTGTCAAACACTGCCCATTCTTTTCCAGAATTATAGGAAAGCTGATGTATCAGTTAGCCTCATTACTCTACTTGCAGAAAGTAAAATGAACTTAGGCTTTGGAGTAAGGGTCTTGCTCCATTGCTGGTCTTACTAAGCACCTGTGGACTGATTTTTAGGTGGGCTATTAGCTTCTCTAGTTTGAAGATGTTGCTGCACAGGTTAAGCTCTATCATATTGGAGCCATACACTGGATCTGCTTCTGTTCTTTGCTCGTTCAAGACTTGGTTTCCCCAGGAGCCAGGCTTTAGGAATTGATGTCACCCTAGCCAAACTCAAAAGGACTAAACTAAAATATTTTTAAATTTTTTTCACATTTACTAAATGCCTATTGAATGTGTGGCCTCGCCCTAATCTCTGGGGAGACAAAAGTGCATCATAAATATGTCATGGTTCCTGACCTTTAGAAACTTATGGTTCAGAAGTGGGACAGATATGAGAATAAATATGTTACATACACCAGACTCAGTGTAGAGGGACAGTACACGCTTGCTGGCCTGAAACAGTTCTGCATTACTATTAAAAATGCTTTCTTAGCCGGGTGCTGGTGACTCACACCTGTATTCTTAGCTACTCAGGAGGCAGAGATCAAGAGGATGGAGGTTCGAAGCCAGTCCAGGCGAATAGTTCGAGAGACCCTATCTCAAAAGTACCCAACACGAAAAAGGGCTGGTGGAGTGGCTCAGGTGTAGGCCCTGAGTTCAAGCCCCAGTACCGCAAAAAGACAAAAGAACCCCAAAACATTCCCTTTCACTTTCAGTACAGTAAGAATGTACGAATGTTTGGGGGTAGAGAAAGGATAGAAAGCAAAAGAACCCAGCCTGCCTTCCCAGAGCAGACCCTTGAACTAGGTGATAACCGAAAATCTGAGCAGCCAAAGCCTGGGAGCTTGGGGTGATTGGCGAAGGGTGAGGTCTGCAGGCGAAGGGATGCAGATTGTTCTAGAAGCAAGTGCAATTAGTTGGCTTAAATTAGGTATTGGTTTCTAGAATTACCTGTGACAACAACTCCTAAAGAACATTTACTAAACGTACAGTTCTCCAGATGCTGCTGGATCCCAGGGCCTTGTGTATACTACACAAGCAATCACTCTATCTGTGAGGTCCCAGCCTGTATTTGTTGGTTGTTTTGTTTTGGTGGGACTGGGGTTTGAACTCAAGGCTTCACACTTGCCAAGTGGGAGCTCTAAGGCTTGAGCCACATCTCCAGACCATTTTGCTCTGATTGTTTTGGAGATGGGAGTCTTGCAAACTGTGATCTCAAACCAGGATCCTCCCTATCTCAGTCTCCCAAGTAGCTAGGATTACAGGTGTGAGCCATGGGTGCCCAGCTGGATTTGTGGTTTTTAAGTTCTTCCAACAAACAGTTGGATAGTGTGGGCATATTTGGTGTGGATCCAGAACAAAACGACTCCTGCCTACTTGTAATTCCTGGAACACTTCAGACAGTTGTATTTATCTCTGGGAAGAAGCTGGAATTAATTCTGAAGCATCAGAACACTCCATCCCTTTTTTTTTTTTCAGATAAATTGCTGCCCTTCCTTTATGGTAGGATACCTGCCAAGCCTTATCTTGTATTTTTGGTCTTGTTTTTGTTATTGAATGTGTAAAATACTCATGATTCATCAGCAATATACGTGCCAACCCCTTTCAAGGGAGATCATCAATCTCTTACAAGTTTCAGCCTGACCTTGTCCCCAAATTTTGGAACTGCTCTCTGTGTGGGAACTGCGGACTTCTCACAGATTCTCTGCAATTCTGGAAAATGATCACAGTACAAGGAACACCTTATCCAGGAGAGGAGCTCCTGGGGTTTGAGGCAGCTGATTCGCTCAGAGGAGGACGCACTGGGGGTTTGAGAGGATCAATTCCCAAATGGAATCCGTCGGTGGAAAATGAGGAAAAGCTGCTATTTTCCCCCTTGCTTTCAAACATAGATGGTTCACTTGGAAGGCTGCTGTCACCAGGCTTGTTGGCTTACTACTGAAGAAGCAAACGATAGGAATCAAAGACTTAGAAGTTTTGTAAAGAAAGCCTCAATGTTATGAAAAGAAAGGAGTCTGGGAAACCGCTCAGGCGGTAATGTCACAGGGTAATTTTGCATCCTCTACCCATGACCTGGCCACTTTAGAGCGTCCACGAGGGAGGGGCAGGGCATCTTAAATTCTTGTCCTTGGTCACTCTTATGGCATCGCTGAGGGTCTCTCAAATCCTGGGAGTGACAGAGATGAAGACGAACAGGCTGAAATCTTCCAGCTGTCAGTATCTGGGAGGGGGAAAACAATTCACAGCCGGGTCCATTTTTTCTTTTTTTTTTAAATAAGGGGCTTAACTTCTGTGCGGTGCAATGTCACCTCACGCCATTGAGTCTAGTAGCAGATAAAAACATAAAAAGGAAGGGAGGAAAAGCGCAGCATGCACGGACTCAGAAAATAGATCTGGGTTGCTCGTGGGACGGCAGGAGCTGCCACGGTGCCAGGGTCCTCCGCGCGCGGCCGGCGGCGCTGCCTGGAAGCCCCCTTCCCGCAGTCGGGGCGCTACCAGCGCGGCGCCGCGGGGGGGGGGAACCGGCGCGCGCACGCACAGACTTCAAAGGCCCGGCGCGGCCGCCGCCCCCACCCGCGCGGCGCGAGTAGTACGGTCCGAGGGGGCGGCTCCTGGGGCGCGGCTCCGCGGCAGCTGATGCGCGCCCCGCGGCCCGAAGGCGGGAGCGAGACCCCGAGACCCGAGCCGCTGGGCGCCGCGGGCGGCCCCTCAGGAGGCTGGGAGAGACATCTTCGCGGCGAGGGAGCCTGGTGCGGACGCGACGCGCCGCGGCGCTCGGAGGAGGGCGCCGGGAAGCGGCACTACTGCTGCCGGCGAGAGGAAGCGCTCCACCCGGCCCCCGACGGCGCTCGTTGAGCCACATCCGCGCCTCGGCTGGCGACGCGTACAGGCGCCTGTCACCGGGTCCCTCCATTTTGAAAAGGAAAAAAGGCTCTCCCCCCATCCCTGCCCTGCCCCTAGGAGCTGGAGCCGCGGGAGCCGCGCTCATGGCGTTCAGCCCGTGGCAGATCCTGTCCCCCGTGCAGTGGGCGAAGTGGACGTGGTCCGCGGTGCGCGGCGGGGGCGGCGGAGAGGACGAGGCCGGAGGGCCCGAGGGCGACCCCGAGGAGGAGGACTCGCAAGCCGAGACCAAATCCTTGAGTTTCAGGCAAGTACACAGCATCCCTGCCGAGATGCAGACGTGCTGCCATCCCCCATCGCTCCCCCGTGTGCGTGCGTGTGACCGCCCACCCGCGTAACCGCGTTCGTGGCCATGCTGCGTCCCTGCCTGCAACCTGGTCCCTGCTGTGCATTCATTCCAAAGTTGGGGACGGTCGCTGTCGTCCTCGGTTCAGTGTGACCCTTCTGGACCTTGTCCAGAATCTGCAGTCTGCGGATCCCCGTTTGCCTCCCTCGGTCACTTCCCCCACCCCCAGCCCGACACAGACACACACATGGATAGTGTCATTGATCACACCAGGTGGAACTTAGAGCTTTTGCATGGGGAAGAGCCGCTGCCTGGCCCTCCCAGGGCCCCACTGTGTCCCCAAACTGTAAGCATGGTAAAGATGTCGCGTGATGACAGGTCCCTGGCAGCTGGTGAGAAATGGTGGTCTCTGCTGAGCTGTCACCCGTGTGATTGCGGAAGGCAGGTGTCGTCTTAGACTCCAGACGACAGGCGTTCCAGACAGGTAGAGGCCTACCAAGGCAAGAGGCATGGCTAGAATTGGCTTCATTTTGGGCTGGAGGCTGTATTAATTTTTTAAGCATCTGGAAGAAGGGCTTGTGAGAAAAGGAGTCGGTTGGAAAGCGCTTTTTTCGGGCGTGAAAGGGAAAGATGACCTCAAAAATAAATGGTGCAGGAGCAAAGCTCCAGAGGATGGAGGAAATTTCAGGGGGACAGGATGCCAGACCAAGAAACCCAGGAGGGCACCGCTGAAAGACCGCAGCAGCCTCCGCAGGCCAGCCCATACTGAGAATCAGTTGGTTGTAAAGTTAGAAATGCCGGACTTGAACTTTTGTGGCTATGTTAATTTTAATGGGTCTCGGAAATACCGTTGAAAGTGGTAATTCCTCATTTTTCCCCCTTGGCAGCTCGGATTCTGAAGGTAATTTTGAGACCCCTGAAGCTGAAACTCCGATCACATCACCTCTCAAGGAATCCTGTAATTCTTCACTAGGATTGGCAGGACCTGGGTCCAAAACCCAAGGTAAATAAAAACTGTCGTTTTCTGCCTCTTCCGTTTTAAAGCTTTTAGAAAATGTATATGAAAGAAGGGGGAAAAAAGGTAGTAATTTAGGACCACTTAAAGGGAGTTGGATTGTTTCCTTGCCCAGAAAGAGCTGTTTTAAAGCTCCTGCCTTTAGTTGGAAGGGTCTTGGTTTTTGTTTCATTTTCTTTCTCTTTGCAAAACAAAACATTTTGGTCATTTGGTAATCAGAAGCTTTCTTTACTCCCTGGGCATTTGCAGCATGAGATTATCATTAGCAAGCATTCCTGTTGGGCCATCCTCAGCCCTTCAAAAGTAAAAATGTTTGCAGTAATGCAGTGGTAGGGGTATGTTTAGATTTGGCTTCACAAATTCCTCAGGCTCAGTTGGTTTCTACCAGGGTGTGGCTAGACACAAAAATTATAGGTAAAAGTTTTTTTTTTTTAATTTTTGGTTAGGAATCTAAGAGGTTATTCCAAAATTGCTTACCTTTCCATTTTCTGTGCAAGAATGTGGTAATCCTTTGCATCTAAAAACCACACACACATATTCTCTTCTAGCCTCACAGTCCAACCTTGAACCTGCCCTTCATCTACAGAAGCATCTGCCACTTATTTAGTAGGAACTTTTTGTGACACACAGACGATTTTGGGTAAAATTTTACCTGTCTTAATATAAATCCATTCGCCCATTCAGTAAATAAAGTGCACTGTGATGCAGCAGCCATTTTGGAGGGAGATGCACCTTTTAAAGGTTAGGCAAAAATATATATGTCAGCTTGTGTTAAGTACTACGGAGGATGGTAAGCAGGGAAAGAGGTGGGGCTAGCAAATGCTGAAGTGTGTGTTGGGGTGGGGGAAGTGTACTAATAAGGTGACTTGAGCAGAGAGAGACCTGACAGGAGGACTGGGGAAAGAAGACTTGTAGATTCCTGGGAGAAGAATGCCTCCAGCATAGGGAACAGCATCTGCAAAGGTGTGAGACAGGACCAAGCGCTGGGGTAGAAAGGTTTTCTTTCTCTCTTATTCTCTCTCTCTCTCCTTCCTTCCTTCCTTTTTGGTGGTACTGGGGTTTGAACCCAAGGCTCCACACTTGCTAGGTAGGTGTTTCACCACTTGAACCATACTCCCAGCTTTTTTTGGCTTTATTTTTCAGCTAGGGTCTCAATTTTCTGTTTTGCTGGTATCACAGCCATGCACTGCCACATCTGGATTATGTGTTGAAATGGAGTTTCACTAACTTTTTACCTGGGCTGACCTGGCCTCAGAAGGTGATCCTCCCTATCTCCACTGCTTCCTGAGTAGGTGGAATTATAGGTGTGTGAGCCACTATACCCAACCTAACATTTCTTCTTCTTCCTTTTTTTTTTTTTAATTTTGAAACTTTTTAAAGCACTTCCTAGCCTAACATTTCTGAGCAAAACTCAATTCAACCCATGACAGGACTTTGAGCAGAACTATGCTTTGACTTTTTTGTTTTGTTTGCTTTTGGGATAGGGTCTCCCTGTACAACCCAGGCTGATTTGGAACTCAGGATCCTCTTGCCCCTTCCTCTTCAGTGCTGAGATTGACTTTCTTTTTGCAAGGCTCTCTGGCTGCTACATAGAATGGGATTCTGAGTAGATCCCCTTACAGGGCAGATAGAACCAGCTTTCATTTATCTATAGTTACCTAATTTTTGAACTGATTATGATTCCTCAGATCCACAGTTAATGTATCCTACTGTTTAGTAACTTCTTCACAAAGTAGTCTAGGGAAGTTCAAGTCACCTGGTAATAAAGTTGTAAAAGAGCTAGAATTGGTAAAATCACATCAGCTTTTTTGCGATTTGCTCTTGCTTGAAATTGAGAACGCTGTTCTGTGTCTCCCTGCTGAGAATCCAGCAATACTTCCAACCTTGGGTCTATGCAGGAATCACTTTGGGACAGACAGGTTGATATATTGAAGTGCTCGTGTGTGGCACAAAGCTGGGTGGCACTCTTGGTGATGAAGATGCCACTTGTTCCCATAGCTTCTCTTTTCTTCTAACAAGATTGGCAGATCAGAGGGAGAGTTAGAAGCTTGAAAGAACTGTTTTGTGGCCTGCTCATCAAATTTAAATAAAGCCCATAAGACACATGTTAAATAGCTGTTTGAAAGCCTCTTTGAATTACCCTCTGCTTGGGCGGCCCTTCCTCATCATTCTTTCAGCTGCTGAACTGATTCATCCTGCCAGATTCTTTGCCAAATGAATAGAAGCCTGGATGGACCAGGCCCCCAAATCCACAGAGACCCAATTGTTTGGTTCTACCAGTACCAGTGACTCTCACACTCTCATTTTCATTCTGTCAAAAAAGAAAACTTTCCCTGAATGTTTTCCTTTTAGAGAGTCTTGGATCAGAAACCCTCTGAGGGGTAATTCATGACAGCAGACTATAATTGTGGCGGTGGAGGTTGGTGGTGTACAGTCTAGGAAATAATCCTACGTATTATGAAATCTCTCATTTTAAGGTATTTGAACAATGGGATGATTACTCATCAGCCTGTACTGTCCTGCCATTAAGGGCTCTATACAGAGTCTGGAGCTGGTCCAGAGTCTTGCAGATTGCCTGGTCACACATACAAAGAAAATATGAAAATATACTGAAGCACCAGGCTGATGGGGGATAATTTCAGAGTGCAGAAATTCCTTAAAAGTCATTTCACATCCAAGTTTAATTTCAGGGACTGGATGGTTTACTTTCCCCACCCCCCAATTTTTTGTTGTTGTTGTTCCTGATAAATCTTTCATATATCTGTGGTTCAAGGACATAGTTGAATAGTAAGTGTAGACTATGTAAGACTATCTTCTGGAGAAACAATTTATGAGTTGCTACTCAGGAGTTGGCATTAATATTTGTAGTGACCCTGGCTTCCTGGTATACAGTAGCCCTCAAATGTGTGGGCTGTGTCCCATATACCATATCCATGAATGGTATGCCAGCTTCCATAATTCTTTCAACTCAGGGAAGCCTATGACTTTTTTTTTTTTTAATTAGAACTGTTTAAGGAACTTAAAGTATCTAAACTCTGTACTGGCTTCTTCTAAGACAGGAATTAAACAATGGATAAGATTTTGGAATTTTTTTTAAACTACAAACAGAAGCTGGTTCCTGATTACCTAGTAAAATAAAAACTCAAGCCAAAGAAATTTCTTTCTTTCTTTTTTTTTTTTGCGGTACTGGGGCTTGAACTCAGGGCCTTATGCTTTCTAGGCAGGCATTCTACCATTTGAGCAACTCCACCAACCCAGAAATTTCTTGAAAATACTAGACTGATGGCTATAAAGCTTGAGCTATTAGTTCTGTATTTGCTGTCTGTCTTCCTTCTCCCTCAAAGGTGTGTAAGCTTCTGCATTTTTTTTTTTTTTTTTTTTTTTGGTGGTTCTGGGGATTTGAACTGGCAGGCACTATACTGCTTGAGCCACACCTCCAGTCCATTTTGCTCTGGCTATTTTGGAGATGGGGGTATTGCAGTCTGTCTGCCCAGGCTGGCCTTGAACTGCGGTCCTTCTGATCTCAGCCTCCCGATAGCTAGGCTTACAGGCGTGAGCCATCGGTGCCAGCTTAAGCTTCTGCTTTTGCATTGTTTTGTTTCTTGGCTGGAAAATCTGTCAGTGAGGAGACATCCCCTAGAAAAGAACTTTTGAGGGATACATGTCCTTTATTATTATTTCCTCTTTATTTGGAGATGGTGGTGCTTATGGATGACTTAGGGGCTGTGATTTTAGCCTATAGTAGATGTTTGCCAGTTGAGCTCCCTCTCCCCTACCTTCCTCACATGCCCTGCTTCCACACCTTTATTTATAGGTTGTTACCTCTTTTTAAGAAAGAGAGTCTTTGTTTTTTTTGGCAGCACAGGGGTTTGAACTCAGGGCTCAGGACCTCATGCTTGCTAGGCAGGCTTTCTACCACTTGAGCACTCTAACAGCACTTTTTTTGTGATTTTTTTTTTTTTTTCCCAGATAGGGTCTTATGAACTATTTGCCAGGGGCTGGCTTCAAACCTCAGTTCTCCTGATCTCTGACTTCTGAGTAGCTAGGATTGTAGGTGTGAGCCATCAGCCCCCAAGAAGAAAGAGAATCTTAATTAATACAGAAGCTCTCACTTCATTCACCCTGAATAACTAGTTCCACCTGTCCAGTTTGATATGTTAATTAGATGCCCTCTGGAATAGAGATAAATGGGGATCAAGTACAGATATTTACCCCTGGAGGGTTTTGTGGGAAGTGCAAAGTTGTTTGTTGACACAGTTTTGGTCATCTAGATCAGAACCAACAAGCCATGCATAGAGGCTAAATCTGGTCAGCTACTGGGATTTTCTTTGGATGTTTTTTGTTTGTTTGTATAGTGTTCCAGGGAAGAATGACTTTATATTTTTAAATGAAATGGTTCAAAAAAGTATTTTTTGACGTGAAAATGATATGAAATTCAATTTCAGGTCCCATAAACAAAACTTTATTGAAATATACTCACACTGATTTGTGTAGGCATCGTCTGTGGCTGCTTTTGTACTATGGTAGCAGGGATCAAGTACTTGAAACAGAGACCAAATATCTAGCCTAAAATATTTGCAATCTGCTCAGAAAATGTTTGTCAACCTATATCCATACTTGAGCCAATTTCAATAAAAAAAATAAAGTATAAGTAATTTAGGAAGATGATCATAAGAATAAAGAAAAGAAGGGACTGGGAAGTGTGGCTCAAGTGGTAGAGCACTTGCCTAGCAAGTGCAAGGCTCTGAGTTCAATCCCCAATATGGAAAAAAAAAAAAAAAAGAAGAAGAAGGAGACATGGCTATACATGAGTAACAAATGAAGAGTGCACAGTGGGTGACATTAGTGTAGGCATGTGTGGTTACAACTGGGGCCCTAGGGGTTTCGCCATGGCAGGTCCAGCCACTCACCCCAAAGAAAGCAGATGGAAGTGAAATGATGAAAGACAGGAAAAGATTTTAATGAACATAGCTCTGTTTGGAAGTAGA